AAATAGTTTTTGTTTTTCTGGAGATTCTGATATCAATTTCTCAGTTCTTCTTATTAGTTCTGCTATTAAATATACAGAGCATATCTTTTTATCTTCCCTAAATACTAAAATCTATCTTGATCTTTTCAAATCTGAACCTTTTAGTTTAGTCACTATAAAAGATATCTTTTCTGGCTATTCTGAATCTCCTTCAAACTGGATTGACTGTTTGTAAATTTGATCTAAGTCGGATTTTGGTCTTTACATAGACACTATTGCTAATATCATCAATATTCTCTTGTTTAATTCCTTTAAGATAATCGTTCTTACTTCTCTCACTATTTTTATTACATTCAGCACATCCCCTATTTCCTAGTGCAAAGGATGTTTGCCCTTGGTGTATTATCTAAATCTTGTTTGGTTTTCAAAATTTGTCTGATTTCATCACATTTTGATAATTTTAGATCTTTTTTTGTTCTATACGATATGCTTTTAATAAATTCAGAGATGTAGTCTGTACTATGTCTGCTAAAAAATTTATTATGATAACTAGATTACAGTTCTATAGATCTACTTTCTATTCATTGCACCAACTCTCAAATCTCTTTCAATTACTGTCATAGTTCTTTGTCTTCTGTCTTTCTGATTGTTTCAACAAGTTTCTAGTTTTCTTTAAAAATCCTTAATTTTCCCAGTTCTTGCAGATATTAACCATATGATGTGATTCTATTTCGACAGGTTCATTATGTTTGATAGTATTTTCAGATGAATAAAGAGGTTCATCCTGGCTTTTAAAATTATTAGTTTTTTGATAGATATTTGTAATATCTCTGCAAACCACTGTTAAGACAGCCATCTTGATGTTATCAGAATTAATTTCTTTATTCACTGCTTCTTTACTACTTGAAGAACTTTTGGGATTAATTTCTAGAGAGTTTATGTATACTATTGATTTGTCCTATATTTGCTAAAATGCATTTGTTTTCTCTGCTTCTGAATTCTGTATCTTGCTAAAGAAGTGTTTCATCTGATTTGTTAGTCTCGAAGCAAACAAATCTAACTTGACCTTGTAAAAAATCTTCTGAACTTTCTTGAAAATAATTAGATTCAACATCCAGTTATTTCAATCTATGATTTGATGACTCAATGTATCTGCTTGCCAATTCTTCTTTCCTGAAATATATTCTGCTTGTAAGTTAATCTTGTGTCTCTAATATGTTTTTCAAATCTCTTGTGCTATTGAGTTTAGATATATTGACCGAGTTTCCCTTGTTTGTTTATATATGATCGAGCTGTCATATTGTCTGTCTAGACTCTTATCATTTGGTTTATCTATTTTCTGCTATTTATCTGATCAGAAATGCAATCGCCTTTAACTCTCTTACATTTATCAACTTGTTTAATTCTTGTATCATCCAATATTCGAATATTTTCAACTCATCTGATACTATTCCCATCCCATATTGGATATATCTGTGAAGGCTTCTTTTGTTGGTAATAGAATCAGTATCATTCTGCTATTCTACTTTTTTATTGACATTAACTACTATTTTAGTTTTTCTTGTTGATTCTGACAATCAAATCCTTATTTTTCACAAACCTGATTTCAGAACTCTGTTTAGGTTTATTATTAGATTTTTGTATTTCAATCTTGCTAATAAGACTACTTCTGTTGTTGTATTTAAAAG